TCCATTTTCTTTTCTTTTTTCTTTTTTTCTTTTTTTTTTTTTTTACCTTCAGAGGAAAAGTCACTCTGGTTGGCAAGGGCTCTAAATAAAGGAGTTTGGCTTCTGAATGGAATAGGAGTGATGAGGATAAAATGAGCTGTGGAAAGGGAAAGGGAGTTACTTCCAAATACAGGCCAAAGCTGTGGTACCATTGCATCTACTTTTCACGCTTGGCTCTTACACATCACTATCACAAGGATTAGGGGGAGCAGCTGCAAATCCACCCAGGACCATCAGATTCACTTCTCGGAACATGTTAAGCACTATCCAGTGCCAAAGCAAGGTTTCACCAAGCACCAGCTAAACCAGGGTTGCCTTCCTAGCATGAGTACCTGAAGATAAAAGGCACAGGCTCCACCATGACTATGTTGTTCCACACCTCGGGCTGTGTCCTTTTCCTAGATTTTTCAGGGTCATTATGAGATAGCTCTTAGGTTTATTTTCAGTCATCTGGCAAACCCACGAGAGTTTAAATTAAAATTAAATTGGGTTTATAAGATCTCACCAATTTGATAGAATTTTCTTTGCCAAGTATGGAGTGATTTTTGTGAAAACTAACAAGGCACGTGACAGATATTAGCATACATCATAGAGTGTTAGATGTGCTCCATTGCTTACTAACCCTCCTATCAGTCTGTTGCTATGCTAGACACAGTATGACACACACATGAAGTTTCTACCTTCATAGGGTTTCTTTACTTTCTAGTCACTTGTTTAAACATCTAATACCATCTGGGCACCTATAATGTGTCAAACATTTGCTCCATGCTGAGTTTGTTGCAATAAATAGGCAGACAGGACTATTGCCTCTCAGTGAGGGCAACATCAGAAAAACAACTGATACAGCCCAAATCTATTGCAGAGACATTGTGAGATTCATGTAGATGCACGGAAGATTAGTGTTCTACATGGTGGGAAATGCATTTCATTGACTGACAAATGATGTTTGAATATCAGGTAGGAACCAGGCTCTGAACATTCAAAGTTCACATCTAAATGGAAGAATTACAGAGGTGAAAGAGATATGGGATGGAGAAGAAAATGTTGAAGTAAGGATAAATAATTTATAATAGTTCCTGTAATGTAGAGTTCAAAGAACCAAGGATAGAGTTAGGATTTTTAACAGTAAAGCTAGAAAAGAAAAAGGAGGTAAACTGCACAGGGATTTGAAGGTATACCACAGGGCTTAGACCCTATCCTGATAATAATACACAGTCTTACAATAGTTCTAAGTTGGGAATGAGCCAAAGGTATTATTTGAGTAAAAGATTGATTGAAGCTAAGAATTGGTGTTGTGCAGAGAGAAGTGTAACTACAGTATTCACTTCTGTTTAGAAGTTGTTGTAAAAGACCAAGTCACACTGATAGTCACTACCAAGGACATAATCTCTGCTAAAACTAAGATACCGAAAGAGCAGGCCTCTGAGGACTTGGCGTGACATGGAGGGATGAGCAGTTAGGTAGAGCATGAAAGTGACAGGGATGAACCATTCTTGGTAAACTGAGATAAAAGAGGTCCCGTTGGCCAAAATGATGATTTCTGAGACAGAAAACTCAGAAATGGTTGTAAATAGGGGAAGGAAGCTCAGAAATTTGGCTTGGGTCCTTTCAAACTTAGGACCACGAGGCATTTTTGATAAATACATCTGAGACCAGTGGGAGAGACCTGTGATGAGGACGTAGATGCAGGGATCGTCAACACATTGATTGCATACTGTTACCTGCTGATAACAGGAGAAGCTTCTGTGGCCTCCTGGAGGAAATAGAGAATCTGAGTCTCCTTAAATTTTCTTCATATTTTCAGGGAAATTTTTGCATTTGAGGGTTGATGAGAAAGATAAATTGGTTATAAAATGTCTATAACTGAAGAAAACTTAAAACAACAGAAGAAAATGAAGGAAAAAGAATGTCCAAGGCTGATAATATTAAGATAGAAGCCAAATGAATAGCCTGTGCAGACGCTAGACAATAGACAGGGTCCGGTAGTTGAGCTCAGGCAGCCAGTAGGCATAGTCAGAAAGTGAAAGTAGTATTCCACAGTCAACAATTCTGAGGAAGCCAAGGCATGTGAGAATATCCATTGAATTTCCCATAGAGAAGATATGGATGATTTTAACAGGAGACACTTGCTCCTTGGAGTGAGTGAAAAAGAGGAGAGTTAATGAAGAAGCAAACACATGAGAGTCAAAAAGACAAGTGAAGCAATGTCATGCTTAGGATTTTGTTGTTGTTGTTGTATATTGCTTTCATCAACTTGACACAAGCTAGAATTATTTGGAAAGAAGGAATCCCAATTGAGAAAATGCCTCCATAATATTGGATTGTAGGCAAGTGTTGAGGGGGGAGCATTTTCCTGAGTAACAATTGTTGCAGGAGGGCCTAGCTCACTGTCCTGAGCAGGTAACCCAAGAGTGTATAAGAAAACAAACTGAAGAAGAGAATACTATTAGTAAGCAGCGATCTTCCATGGCTGCTGCTTCGGTTCTGGCCAAGAGGTTTCTTCCCTACTTAGGGTTCTGTTTTAGGACCGCTGGATGATGAACTATAAGCTGTGAGATGAAATAAATCCTGTCCTCCAAAGTTGGTTTTGGTCATGGTGTTTTATCACATCAGCAGAAAGCCTTAACTAAGACAAGAAAGTAGCTGGAGAAGGCCAAGTACATGTGGATACTGCTCTTTCTAGAGCATAAAAGGAATCATACACTGAGTTAATAAATTTTTAAAAAATACAAAGAACTTTAAGTAACAATTAAACAAACCAACACATGGAAGTAACTTAACTGATCACAAAAGAAATCCTGGAGATGTGTATGAGTTTTGATTAAGGGTTGTGTACTGAGTTGAACCTTCAATAACAAGCTTTTAGACAAGTAAGAACGAATCTTTTAGTGTAAGAAATCTGTGAAAAAATAGTAGCAACAATCTACTACTTTTGTTATTCAAAGAATATTTTATCCCAGCTAATATAATGTCTTTAGAATGGAAATTGCCTGACCTCAAAGAGCAGTTATGAGTATGCACATATTAAAAGTTGCAAAATATATAATCCAGTTCATACTTACTGTTCACATTCTCAGTCTCCAAAGACGAAACAAGCATATTCTTTTGGGTGACATTGTTCATTTCCTCATTTGAAATTTTTAGCACCAGATAGGATGTTAAATCAATGGGAGCTGGTGCTTCTCGTGCTTGGGTTTCAAACATCCTCCATACGTACAAACACATCCATAAATAAAGGTGCTAATGTCAGGAAAGAACAAGGTCTTTTAATAAAATACACTAGCACATGTAACTGCCTGCATATCAGAGACTGTTCTAGGGCCTGGCTGACAATTAAACACTGTTTAAATGAATTACTTCCTTCTTTCCTTTTAGGCAGATGGTGAAACCTTGAATGTTTAAAAAATGCTATTTATATATTTATTGATTTAAGTTGGATTTCTATTACTTTAATGAAACCATCCTTCTACCTTATCACAAATAATAAGTACACAGAGGAAGATATAGCTATAAGTATTATTCATTATGGAAGAGACATTAGGAAACCAAGGCTTGGTCTTCCCAGAGAGATTTGACTGAATGGCCATTGCTTCAAGGACTACTAGGTCACAGTCATGGCCATTCATTTTCTTCCTTGTAGTGAATAGAGCCCATTTGCATCAAAAGGGAATAGCCATTGCTATGTAGATACAACATATGCTACTAGATACACTATGTAGAAATAACACCAGTAGTTAATTCCATTTTCCACCTATAAAAAAGTATTCTGCTATTTTTTTCTGGTTTATGACGTCTTCCTCCAAAGAAAATCCATACCACACCACAGTATTTGTCTTTATAAAACTTTGGCCTGGCTATTCTTACCTAGTTCACAGAAGATTCTCATTTTAACACACCTACACGCAGGTGACATTTCAGTTTCTGAGTCTGACGTATGTTGGTATTTTATCCCCAGTCCTCTCTGTGTGGGTACATATCTCTATTCATGGTCATTCTGCTCTGTGTGGGAACATTCCTATTCATGGTCATTCTGTCAAGGTAGGTTTCCCCCGCCTTCAAGAGTATGGCCTGGAAAGGATGTGAGACAATTTTTCTACCTGCTGCCTTGACAAAAATAGCAAGTTGGACTTCACAATTTCTGTCAAAGACTTTGAATGTGGGAGTGGGTTAGGAAATCATGTGTTCCATTGTCGCTTCTAATATGCCACTCCTCCTCATAAGGCACTATTAGTGACCTCAAATCACTGTCACAGACATGTTTGTTTCTTTATTTTGTATTTTCTAGGATTGCTAGAGTCAGTTGGCCTGTTTCTGAGAGACCTTGTGACTGCCATATAGGTTGATAGATGTTGTGAATAAAAAGTGTAATGATTGCTGTCCTACCTCCCCTGGGGGGAAGGGAGAAGACTTGATACAAAGGTTCCTGCGATTATTTAATCCCAGAATGAGAAAGCCTAATTATAAGCTGTCAATTCCTTAGAAAAATACCGAGTAGCAAGTTGTTTAATGGTTGTCATGTTGTTTTCAACAAATCAGATTTATCTTAATGTTATGGAAAAGACAATATCTTTCTTTAAAGCCAAAGAAACTCATGAACTTGTCAAACTTTTGATGTCACAGATGAACCATCCACTGGAGACAATATGTTGAATGGCTTTAGGGGGAAGTCTTTAGGAGCACAGCTGTCCAAGGTGAGCTTCAGGCCCATGCTGACTGGACTAGTATTAGGCTGCCCCAGAATAGCACCTGCAGATGGGTACATGTCAATGGTCCCTTTTCCAAATGGCCTGTGTTACAAAGCTCCTTATGTCTAAGCCTGCAGGTTCTCCGTGTGTTTCAACACTTGTTTCTGTATAGCACAAAAATTCTATGTGGTTTGAGAGCTCCACGTGATCCTTCTGTAGCTAGACTGCTAAGACCAACTTGACTGACAGTGAATTCTTTGTCTCTCCTCTGCCTAGGTGCAAGTGCAACCTGCATGCCACTTCCTGTTTGTATGACAACAGCAAACTGACATGTGAATGTGAGCACAACACTACAGGTCCAGACTGTGGGAAATGTAAGAAGAATTACCAGGGCCGACCTTGGAGTCCAGGCTCATACCTCCCCATCCCCAAAGGCACTGCAAACACCTGTGAGTAACACTGTTCCCTTACAACACGTGCTGTGCATGCTGAGTTGATTCTCCCTTGATTCCACTTGCAATTGTGACTTTGTCTCTTTCCTTTTCAAATTGCAGAATAAGATTTCTATTCCTGAGTTTACCATTTGTAAGCATGTGTTAGCACTCTAATCGCCTGTTAGATTCAGTCCTCTAACCTTCCCATTTAATGTGTTGTGAAATAGTTCTTAAAAATTACAGAAGCAATTTTGTTCTAAGTAGGTGAGACGGGAGGTGACTTTTTTTTCTTCTCCCAAGTTAATATTCCATGACAATAGTACAAGCCTTGAAAAGTCTCAATACTGACTAGCCAGAAATGAGTTCCAGAAACCTTTGAGTATTGACAGTTCCATTTCTACCAAAAGATGCTCTGTCCAGAGACGGTTGGCCCCTCCAGTTCTAGGTGGCCCATAATATCACCTAGTAAGAGAGCTGGCTTTTCCCAAATGCCAGCCATTGAGCTGTGCCTGCTCTGGATTCTCTGAGCAGTGGATGCCTTTGGGTAAAAAGCATGACTGTAAGCCTAGGGTGCCACATGAAGAAAACAGTTTTTTGTCTGTTTGTGAAAGCGCACAGGCAGTATCTTTCTTCACAGGACTCACTAAGACACATGTACATACCCCAATGACATCCCTGCATATGTAAAGGCCAAACTTTACATACTTAAGGAGTAAAAGAACTATTTCCTGAATAATCTACACAATTCTGAGGATGGAATGATTAGCCACCTGGAAAAGCCTAAGGTCTGGCCTCTTTAAAAGGCAGAGAATGGGCAAGATTACCATAGAACTGCACAGCAAGAAGTCAGAACAGCCACAGGACAATGAGAAGTTGAACAGCAAGCCACAGGCTCCATGCAAGGCTAAGAATGTTATCTGGTACTTCAAAGCCGCAGCTGGGAGAAGCCAGCACTGAAAACCAATATCACAAGAACCTGAGCTTTATCAAGTTACATGTCAAAGTAATGGACCAGGTAACAAGCTATGAAGTGTGGGGGCATGAAATTAGGATAAATTTCTATGAAGCAGAAAAGAGTTCTCCCAGAGGTTAAAAAATAATCCCTTTGTAAGAATGTTCAGTTTCTCTCTGTGTTAAGGGGGAAACCTACTTCTTGCAACAAAACTTAACACATTAAAACTCTTTTCAGCAAAAATGTTGATTTTTTTTTCAGGTAATTTTATTAATGGGGACTGTGAACTTTCTGTGGTCACTGGAAACCATGAACTCACAACTTTGGAAGAGATTTCCTGAGGTTATCTGTTGCGGTCTCTGATGTCTGACTACCTGACATCACAGATGTCAAACTTAGTTTAAAGCTTTCCCTAAGTGACAATGGCCCACATATCACCTTCCAGTTCTGATGATCCTTTAGTGGGAGAATATAAAAGACAACCAAGCACACACATACTTTCTAGCATTCTGGTTGATATTTAAGGCCAAAACTTGCCAAGGTCACTAGAAGGGCAACAGATAGGCTACTATTAAAGACATTGGCCTCACCCTGACACAGCCCTGTTCTACTCACTATCTCTCAAATAATTGGTTTTTCAGAATATTTTCTCTAGGAAGACTTTGTTTCTGAGAATCTCCCTTCCTGAAATGAGTTTTTTACTCCCTTAACTTTTTACATATTAAATGCAACAAGTGAGTCCTCGCCAAGTGACCATGACCTCCTTGACTTTCCCTAATTGTTTAACTACCCCCTCTTCTGACTTTACTGGCCTTCTGTGAACTAGTGTAATTCTTTCATAACTGTGTTCAAGCTGAAAGAATGACATATAGACCCAATGCCTAAAGGATCAATTCAGTGTTCCAATCATCAATACAGCAAGAACTTGACAGAGGACTTAAAAAATGATATAAAAAAGTCTTGAAATTAACACATTCCCTAACAGTTCAGGCTGTGATTAAAACACCCCAAAATGGCAATAAACACTTTCACAATTTGGCAGTGTGTTACAAGATCAAATCCGCATTCGTGTATTTGCTAATAATCTATCCTCTCCAACATCCTGTTTCCCATTCTTAGTGTGAGGAGAGGATAACAGTTCTCCCCTCACAGGAATTTTGAGAAGATTAAGAAGCTAATTCACGGGATATGCTCTGCATAACACCTGTCACAAAGTGTACAAAATAATTTTATTTTAAGATTCTTTTATATAAGACAACCTTGTCCTCTTTTGGACAACTTTATTAATGTAATTTCTTTCTTATCTTCAGTGTTGAAAGTCTCTTCATCTTGACCCTTTCTTCTTTTCTAAGTAGTATAATAACTCTTCTTGTCCTGGTTTTATTTATTGCAGGTTAACAATCTCCCAACACATAACCCATCCTCTGTGAAAGTGTTTCCTTGTCTCATACTTGGTTGCCTGTCTTAGAAGTCCATTATTATGATTCTTCAATTCAAGTACCAAGCTCTTCTTTTCTACAAAGCTTTCCGAAGAGGCACCTTTCTTGTCTAGCTAATTATCTCTACTTTATATTTTTAATGTTATTTTTAAAAGGCCCTTTGAATTTCATTTTGTTTTCTAAAACCTATTGCATTTTCACTGTTTCCCTTCCATATTGGTTGTTCTCACATACATGATATATCAGCACATGCATGTACAGACACACACACACATCCTCACTTAACTTTAGTTGATGCGGTATAAGACAACTGTCTAAGAGACACACTCAGGATGTCATATTTCCATTAAAAAACTTCAGCTCATTGAAATGGAAAGGAAGGGACTACAGATGCCACTAATCACTAGCAATCTCTATACTTAGAATCACAAGGAGGCAGGACAGTATTAGATTCTGTATATCTTCACAGGTTTGAGCTAGAAAGGCAGGGGATCTTTGTTTTAAGATCCTCTTCAAGGACACTCACACTTAGGAACTCCATTTAGAAACAACTCAAACTGGGACCTTGATGGGAGTCCCTGAGCTCTCAAACTATCCCATTTTAGAGTAAGTAACTCAAAGCCTTTGCCCATGACACGTGTAGCACCAGGAAAGAAGTGTATGGAGTCCCAACACTTGAAAATAGAATCACCCTGTCTGCTGGATATATCTCACTACTCTGTGCTTTTTACTATGATAAGCTCAGCCAATGCCAAGTAAGAACTTCTCCTATAATGTTTTTTTCATTATGCTTATATTTAAGACTCGGTACCTTTAAAGACATATGCATGTTCATCAAGATTTTTCTCTTTTCTCCTAAAAAGCTTATGCTTCATAGAAAAGGCATCTTTTTTTGGTCTCCCTAATGATCTTTATTCCTTTCTTTTTAAATAATGCATCCTTACATATTCTTTAAATTTTTTTTATTTTTCAAGTTGAGAGAAGCTCTGTACAACATAATGCCTAATCATTATTTTCTTGATTCCTCTTGTCCAGATAATGAATAAAGGTATTAATTAGCAATACTCAATCTCTTATGCATAATTTTTTTCTAAATGCAATTTAATAATCTCCTTGTAAAATCCACATCTCTAACAAAATATAATGTCTGTATATCTCCTTCTCAAACGGTGTACTTCTACCCTTAGCAAAACTCTATAACAGTCTTGAGATCAGTGGATAAAGCACTTTATATGTAAGTTCAAGGACCAGAGTTTGGACACACAAAATTGACTTACAGACAGATATATTAGTGAACATCTATAATCCCAGCAGTCCTACACTGAGCTGAGAGACGAAGATAAGAGACTGTAGAACAGTGGTTCTCAACCTGGGGATCACATATGACCACTCTAAAATCAAAGAGCCCTTTCATGGGGGTTCTTTTAAGATCACCAGAATACAGAGATATTTACATTGCAATTCATAACTATAGAAAATTACAATTATGAAGTAGCAAAGAAAATAATTTTATGCTTTGGGGTCATCACAATATGAGGAACTGTATTAAAGGCTCACAGCATTAGGACGGTTGAGAAATTCTGCTGTAGAAGCTCATGAGCCAGCTATACAAGTTTATGCAGCAGCAAACAACAAATTCTCAAACAGTGCAAAACAAATTCTGATTCATCTACACATGCAACCTTGTATGCAGGTACATACAAGGTTTATACATGTGAATACTTGCCTATACACACCATACACAGAAACACATACCATCTTTTTAAATTCTATGGCAAAATAAGAATTAGAAAATTTTGTTTTACTAATTTTTACATATTCACATCACATTATTAGAAATGTCTAGAAGTTCTGCCATAAAGTTTGACTCGATATTTATCAAACTTACTTATTTCATTGAACACTTGGTAGCTTTCTACAAAACATTCTTGTGAGCATGATGGTCTAAAGAATTTCTTGCAGCCTTGCCTTAAAAGAATGCCATGGAAACAGACAAAGGCATAGTCAGTTCAGTTATAGTTTATATTTTACCTTTCTGTATTATCCTTCAAATAAGGAAGATTAAATTGATCTGACATTGACATTATTTCTTTTCAGATATCCAACTTGAATTGTTGTACAATATCTCCTACTCCTCTGAGTAATGGGAAGTAATTTGATGACTATTACATTATTTTCCCTGATATTAAATTTGCATTGATCAGTTTCTATAGTCCCAGATGTACACACTGGTATGTCATTAGCCAGTCAGTTTCCTAAGCACTTTAAATGGATTAGTCCCTTCTAGATTCACACCGGTCTTACCAGATCGATGCAACGGCTTTACATTTTCAAATATGGAAACATATGATTATGATTCATGTGATTCAGGTTTGCACAGGTAGTAGGGGTGCGAGGAAGACTTAAACCAAAGGTTTTCTGCCCTTTAAAGACTATTCATTCTATGTTTACTCCTCTGGGTCTTGGAGTGGCCGTCTCTCCAATGGAAACCGAGCTCCACTTTGACATCCATTCAAACAATAGGCTCTTCTCTAAGTCTCCTAACTTCACAGAACTCTCACTGCTATCTCTTGCCCCTAAAGCCTTCCTTCCCTCCTATCCTTGTTCACCATTTCCCAGCCCTG